TACTCAGCCAGAGTATAGGGGATCCGTTACACACTTCAAGCACTATAAACACTACAATACGCTCCCCATTTTAAGATTTCTTGACTTCTTTAAATTTGACTGCTTACCATCCACTCCCTGCCTCCTGTTGGCTGGGATTCAAACTGGAAGCTCCTGCTTAGGACGTCCTGTCATCTCTCCTGAGCTAAGCCCTGCACTGAAGGGCTAGCTCATTGGCTGAGATTGTCACCTAATCGCTCTCAGCTAATGAGCTACATTCTGCACCACTGGACTTAGCTTAGGCTTCCAGCTGAGTGGGGCAGGGTTTGACTATAAAATATAAAATTTGTTCTAGGGGACAGGCTCTTTTAAAACTGATAGCAATAAGAATTATATCATTGATGGATGATTATTTAAGTATCTTCAGTATTTAATTCTCTTATTCTTTTTGTGTTGGACAGAAAGGTAATTACTAGAACATATTTGTATGTAAGCCTCCAAACAATGTAATTAGTTTTTTTGAGTTAAATTCAAAACACCTCAGTTGTTTATGAGTTTTACACAATTTAAGCATGTGTTTTTTTTCAGTTAAGCTCATTAATTAGCATATGTGCAGTTTTTTTTTTACTATGTAGGTGTGTTAAGCAATTTACATAGTACAATATCACATCTGCAAATTGCCAACTTGTCTTAAGGCACCAATCAGCATATTAAAGATGTAAGCTGTTTTATTTCATTTTCATTCAAAATACTAAAATGTAGAGCACAAAAAGCCCTATTTCCTGGCTAATAATGGGAGCATCACTTATGGGTTAGCTCCGCCCCAATCAGGTACAGGACAGGAAAAATCAATTAATCTGGACCCGACTGGGGTATAAAATGTCCCTCCTCCTTCCAACCCACAGTCTTTTTTTCCTGTCCTTGCAGGACAAACAGGATTTTTTTTTGGGGGGGGCACCTTCCCATGTGTACCATGGGCCTCCAGATGAAGTTCAGCCTCTCTTCATCTGAATAACTCAGTAAACAGCCTGCACAGGCAGGACTAACTGAGTTAGGTACAGATTATTATCTGTACCATGGAGTTGGATAAATTATATATAAATTATATATATATAAATATTTGATGTGGGGTCAGCTGTAGCTTTAAAAATTCCCCTGCTAAACATCAAAACCCCCCTGATCAGAAGGCAGAGTATTGTGGAGAAGCCAGTAATCATAAAAAAACATTTGCTGGCCCAGCCAGATGTTATAGGAGGCAGGCTTCGCTTCTTTTATCCGGTTTGGGCCAAGAATATTCAAGATTCTTGGGTTCTGTCTATTCTAATGGAAGGATACAAGATAGAATTCAAGGAATTCCCTTATCAAAACTCTTTCATTCGTTCAAGAGTTTCAAAAGGAAGAAAAGAAATCGCTCTGAACATCATAATTTCCCAGCTGCTGCAGAACCAGGTTATAGAAAAAGTTCCTTACAGAGAGCGTTTCAGCTGCCATTATTCCACTATATTTCTGGCCCCAAAACCCCAGGGAAAATGGCATCTAATTCTGGATCTAAAGGGTCTGAATACAAAATTGATGACAAGAACATTCAAGATGGAGTCTATTACCACTATCCTGCCCAATATAAAGCCGGGGAACTGGATGACATCTATCGATCTCAAAGATGCCTATTATCAAATACCTATTCACGACAGTCATCGCCGGTTCCTGAGGTTCTGGATTTCGGGGAATCACTACCAGTTCAAGGGACTTCTCTTCGGATTAAGTTTGGCCCCCAGAACGTTTTCAAAGATCCTTATTTCCCTGGCAGCCTTTATAAGGACAAAGAACATCAAGCTTTATCATTATCTCGATGATTTTTTAATAATAGGCCCATCCAGACATATTGTGAATCTCCACACCAGGATTACCATCACATCCCTTCAAGAGCATGGTTGTTTGATAAATCCCAAAAAGAGTTCTTTGGTTCCTTCACAGAGGATGATATTCCTGGGAGCAAATATAGATTCGGAGAAAGGCCTGGAATCCCTATCTACAGAAAGAAAGGAGTGAATCGTGAAGAAAATCAGAGGACTGCGTCAGAAATCCTACATCACAGCAAGAGAATTCATGAGCCTATTGGGGTCTCTTACTTCCACGATAGGCCTAGTGAAATGGGCACAATGGAAGATGCGACCTATTCAGAGGCATTTTCTCATACACTTCGATACAAAAACAGGGAATTGGGATCAGAAGATTTGTTTCCTCCCGAGGATTTCAACAGATCTGTATTGGTGGACAAAAGAAGAAAACCTATGTCAAGGGTTTCCCCTGGAAGAACTGGTTTGGATAACCATAACAACAGATGCCAGTCTCCTGGGATGGGGAGCACACTTGAACAACTCGTGGATTCAAGGAACATGGTCATGGAAGGAGTCAAAACTTCATTCGAATTTAAGAGAAATGAGAGCGGTTCTCAGGGTGCTAAAGGGGTTCCGTCATCTCCTGAGGAATGCTTGGGTGAGAATACATACAGACAACAGAGTGGTCGCATCTTATATAAATCATCAGGGAGGCACCTGAAGCTATTCTCTTCTGATGGAACTATCTCCTATAATGAAGTTTGCGCAACGCCATTTACAAGGGTTGAAAGCTGTTTACCTTCCAGGGCCAGAAAATTTATTAGCAGATTATCTCAGCAGAACAAGGATTCTCCAGGGAGAGTGGAAGTTACATCTGGACTTATTTCAGTTGATTACCCTGAGGTGGGGAGTACCCCAGATCGATCTTATGGCATCATACAACAATACCCAGGTAGAAAAGTTTTACTCTCTACATGCGGATCCTCGAGCAGCAGGACAGGATGCTCTGTCCCTTACATGGAAATTCGACCTGTGGTACGCATTCCCTCCCCTACCTATGATTTACAGACTACTAAGAAAGATATGGAAAGAAGGTCTGAAGGTAATTGCCATCATCCCAATTTGGCCTCGCAGACCTTGGTTTCCTATCCTGAACAAGTTGAGCCTGGAACCTCCTTGGCCTCTTCCTCACAGACCAGACATCTTGACCCAGGGACCGGCTGTTCATCCGAACCCCAACCAGCTGAAATTGGGGGCATGGCTCTTGAAAAGGAGAGACTTCTAGCTCAAGGCATTTCTGAGCCTGTAGTTAATACCCTCCTCAAATCCAGAAAAGGGTTGACTTCTTCTTGCTACCATAAGATATGGGAGGTGTTTCTTTCCTGGTCTCTAGCTAACAACGTTGATTTCCTGTAGCCCTCTAACATCAATATTCAAAATTTTCTTCATACAGGCCTGGAAAAAGAGCTGAGCCTTAGTACTCTGAAAGTCCAATCATCAGCTTTATCTGCTCTCTGCAACAAGTCATGGGCATCTGATCCTATTATTGCCAGATTCTTTAAAGCAACAATTCGCATAAGACCTCCGAAAAGGAATTATTCTCCGCCTTGGAATTTACCGATGGTATTAGAGGTTTTGTTTGAAAACCCCTTTGCTCTTTTACATGAGCTGGGTATTGTCTTACTAACATATAAGACCTTGTTTTTAGTGGCTATAACTACAGCAAAACGCATGTCAGAAATCCATGCATTCTCTTGTGATGAAAACCATTTCCAGGTATTCCACGACAGAGTGGTTTTAAGACCTAAACAAGAGTTTCTGCCTAAAGTAGTCTTGAATTTCCACATTCTACAGGAAGTTGTTATCCCTTCCTTTTATCCATCTCCTTCTTCTCCAGAAGAAGTGAAACTTCATCAGTTGGACGTCAGACAGTGTCTACTCAAATACGTCGAAGTTTCAAATCAATTTCGAAAGTCTCATCAGCTATTTGTTCTACCGATAGGTCCCAGGAGAGGGGAAGCAGCATCAACCTCCACCTTGAGACGCTGGATCTCCAGTACTATAATCAAGGCTTATCAATTAAAAGACCTTACTCCTCCTAGTAAGATAAAGTCTCACTCTACAAGGGCTTTGGCAACATCTTGGGCAAATTGGGCAGAAGTTCCAGCTGACGACATCTGTAAGGCAGCTACCTGGTCTTCACCTCTTACGTTCATCAAGCACTACAAACTGGATTTGGCATCATCCTCTACGGCCTTTGGTAGAGGTGTTCTATCCTCTATTAAATCTATCTAATTAAACTTATTTCAGCATTATCTGGTTTAGAGTAATTTTTTTTCCCCCTCCCTATGGTGAAGCTTGGGTATTACCCATAAGTGATGCTGCCATGATTAGCCAGGAATACAGAAAATTTTATCATACTTACCGTAATTTTCTTTTCCTGGCTATTATTCATGGCAGCATCAGCAACCCTCCCTTAAGTATTTATGAAGCTTTGGAACTCGACTGTGGGTTGGAAGGAGGAGGGACCTTTTATACCCCAGTCGGGTCCAGATTAATTGATTTTTCCTGTCCTGTACCTGATTGGGGCGGAGCTAACCCATAAGTGATGCTGCCATGAATAATAGCCAGGAAAAGAAAATTACGGTAAGTATGATAAAACTTTCTGTAATGTTAGTCTTAATGAGTCCATAAAAGGGAGAAATAAAATTATTCTGATTTTGTTTGATCTGATTTGTAAAAATACTTCAAAGCTTTGTTTGCTAAAAGAAGAGTATGTGTATGTGTGTGTGTGTATATATATATATATATTATATATATATATATATATATATATATATATATACATACATTATTTTATATATATATATATATATATGTATGTATATCTTCATATACATATGTTTATATCTACATCTATCTATCTTTATATCTGTATATATATATATATATATATATATATATATATATGTATACACACATTGGGCTCTACTCTGACGTGTAGGTGCGACTTAAGGAATACTAACATGACAAAGAGAGCACTGAAACCACAATGGATTACAACAACAGGAAAAAGAACACAAATTTTACTCCAGCACCAGGACGAAATGCCAAACTGGACAGTTACATTGAAAGTTTCCGTCTAAAACAGTATCCTTGACAACCAAGCAAAACCAAAAGAAAATGTTTCATAATCTCTCTGTACGGGAACAAACGACTATAAATGACTTGGAAAATAATCATGATATCACCATCAAACCAGCAGACAAGGTAGGAGCAGTAGTTGTAATGAACACCCAGGACTACATAAAAGAGGGTGACAGGCAACTGTCAGATGACAAATACTATAGAAAACTAAATGAAGATCCCACCAAGGAATATACATCCCAACTTAGGGAACTAATTAGATTCTTCCCTGAGAATCTGCATCTAGAACTGCAATCCCTCATACCAACTAGTCCCTACATGGGCACTTTCTATATGCTTGCCAAAATCCACAAAGCAGGTAATCTTGGATGACCCATAATTACAGCAATGAGAACTCTCACAGTCTACCAGTCTCAGGATTGGCAGAAAATTCCCTAAAACCTCTAGTCACCAACACCAACAGCTTCATAAAAGACACAACCGACTTCCTCAACAAACTCAGCCAAATCACCAATCTCTCTGCTAACACCATCCTTGTAACCATGGATGTGGAATCTCTGTACTGCAACATTCCACATACAGATGGCATCATTGCTTGCTTTCATTTCCTCTCTTATGCCAACAAACAAAAATACAGCCCACGGATTATCACAGAACTGGCACTTTTCATCCTCACACATAATTATTTCAGTTTTAACAATGAGGTTTACCTACAAACCATGGGCACTGCTGTGGGCACTAAGATGGCAACCCAATATGCTAATTTGTTTATGGCAGATCTTGAACAGTGATTCCTAGAAATACAGCACACCAAACCATACAAATATTATAGCTATATCGATGATATCTTCATAATTTGGACTAAAAAACTGATACAGTTCCATGTCTCTTTTATTACATTCCATCCATCAATCAAACTAAAAATGTAATATTCCACTAAATCTGTGAATTTTCTGGATACCACTGTGACATGTAACAATGGCACAATCCACACCTCGGTTCACAGAAAACCCACAGACAGGTGCAGTTACCTTCACAGCTCCAGCTTCCACCCCTTCCATACTAAACAGGGCATCATCTACAGCATATGCTCTGATATTACCATAAAATCTCATCTAAATGTACTCTCCTAATCTATGAGACAGAACGTCTACAAACCAAAGACTAATACCAAACAAATCAACTCTGCTGTAAAATGCCACGCACATGCCTGCTACAATACAGAGAGAAAAAAATATCTACACATGTGCCACTTGTGGTCACCTACAACCCAGCTCTTGAGGAAATACAGAAAATCATTAAAAAACTACAACAAATGTTTACAGAAGATGGGACTCTGAAAAACATTTTCTCTGAAACACCCATTTTGGCCTTCAGACAACCACCAAACCTCCAACAAAAATGAATCAACAGGAAGCTGCCCACTGATGGGAAGAATAAAGAAAATGGGACCAGTCAATGCCAAAAACCTTGCTGCAAACTGTGTCAGCACATATGCACAGACAACACAGCTACACACAACAATAAAACCTACAGCATTAAAGGATCATACTCCTGCACATCCAGCAATGTGGTATACATGATTCAATGCACCAAATGCCACCAAGGATGCTTCATTGGGGAAACCAGCCAGCAATTAAATGGCAGAATGAATATGCAGAGACACTCCATTAAACACCACAAAGAAGAATCGTACTGCACTCCTGTGGGATACCACTTTACCCAGTCTGGCCACTCAATGAAGGACCTAAAAATCAAAGTACTGAAAGGGGGTTTTAAAAATACACAAGAAAGAAACTTTTGAAGCCAGAATGATCAAATTGTTTAACAGCAAGAATAGAGGACTAAATATTGATTTGGGTTTCCTGTCCCACTACCAACACTTTACATGAACACTCCCCCACATTATCTTACTGTTCTGTCATATGTATCAACACTTTAAAATGCATTCCAATATGTTTTTTTTCTTTCAATATACGAAGTACTATGTGTAGACCTATGCTTTTCCATACTCTAATGCATGTATGCTTAAATATGTGACTGTGCATTTATATTTCTGTATATGAGTTCATGTGCATGTATGTATATGTGTTTATGTGTATGTATATGTCTTCATGTGTTAATGTGTTTGTATATATATATATATGTGTGTGTATGTGTATCTATAAAGTGTACCATCTTCTGCACTGTCTGCTTGTTTTTTTTTCTCCCTCTCTCCCCCCTCACTCTGATCTTCAGAATGATATTTATGACCCTCTGCAAGAATGTTGTCTATTTTCGATCAAACCTGTGTCTTATCTGCACTCATGTCTCTTTAACCCCTGTATCACAACTCAACTTTGAATTCAATAGGTCGTCTTGCTCAGAAATGCTTCAGACTTGAGAAAGGGAGGTTCTCTCAAAAGCTTGTCATTAAAAAATTCTATTAGTCCAATAAAAAAGGTATTACAAGTTACAAATGTTATCTGTTTTATATATATATATATATATATATATATATATATATGCACTCTCAGGTCTTTTTGTCAAAATATAGTGTGATTTATTTAAATGATGTGCATATAGCAACCAAAAATCGACGTTTCGACCCCTGCGGGGTTTATATATTGGAAGCACTGTGGATTGCAACCAGGCAGGTGTATCTGAAATTCTGGTAAGGAGAGTGCCATGCCATCAACCTATTATATATATATATATATATATATATATATATATATATATTAAAATAGATTTTCTCACCCCTCGGGTCCTCACTCTCGGGTCCTCTACCTGAGGCCCTGGGAGTTTGAGGGTTCTGCGCAGTATCTTAGCTGTTCCTGGAACTGCATTCTTCTGGACAGCAATCTCAGATTGGGAGTCACAGCCCTGAGTGCTCCTATCACAACTGGTACTACTACTGCCTTCACTTTCCACATTCTTTCTAGTTCTTCTTTCAGTCCTTCGTGTTTGTCCACCTTCTCATGTTCCTTCTCTGATGTTATAGTCACTGGGTATTGCCACATCCACCCACGACTGCAGTCTTTCGTTCCTGATGCCTGGTTGGTTGGCCAGCACTTGCTTGTCTGTCTGGATCTTGAAGTCCCACAGGATCTTAGACCTGTCATTCTCAACTAGCCTTTGTGGTATCTCCCATCTGCCATGTCCAATCCATATTCTGTGCAGATGTTTTTGTACACAATCCCAGCAACTTGGTTGTGTATCTCTGTGTATGCTGTTCCTGCTAACCTTTTGCATCTGACTACTAGGTGCTGGACTGTCTCAGAGGCCTCTTTGCACAGTCTGCACCTTGGTTCTTGCCGTGTGTGGTAGACTCCAGCTTCTATTGATCTGGTGCTGAGTGCCTGCTCCTGTGCTGCTAGGATTAGTGCCTCAGTGCTGTCTGTCAGTCCTGCCTTTTCAAACCATTGGTAGGATTTTGTCATGTGAGCTACATCCACTATCTGCCGGTGGTACACCCCATGGACAGGTTTGTCTTGCCAAAGAAACTCCTCTTTTTCTGCATGCTCGATCTGTGGAAGTCTCAGGCATTCCCTTAGCAGTTCATCTTTGGGAGCCATCTTCCTGATGTACTAGTGGATGCTCTGTGTTTCATCCAGAATTGTGGCCTTGACACTCATCAGACCCTGACCTCCTTCCTTCCAGCAGGTGTACAGTCTCTGGGTGCTGGATTTTGGGTGGAATCCTCCATTCATAGTGAGTAATTTCCTGGTCTTGATATCCATGCTGACCAGTTCTTCTCTTGGCCAGGTTATTATTCCGGAAGGTTACCTGATAATCGGTAGGACATGTGTGTTGATGGCTTTGATCTTGTTCTTGCCATTGAGCTGGGACTACAGGAGCTCTCTGACTCTTTGGAGATACTTGAATGTTGCTATCCTCCTTGCCTCTTTCTCATGGTTGCCATGCGTTTGTGGTACTCCCTGGTACTTGTAGCTGTTCTCTACATTTTCTATTTGGCCTTCTGGAACTTCAGCTCCCTCTGCCCTGATCATCTTCCCTCTTTTTGTTATCAACCACCCGCACTTCTCTAGTCCAAATTACATTCCGATGTCCTTGCTGTATATCCTAGTTAGGTGGATCAGTGAGTCAATGTCCTGCTCATTCTTGGCATACAGCTTGATGTCATTCATGTAGAGTAGGTGGCTGATGGTAGCTCCACTCTTGAACTTGTATCCGTATCCAGTCTTCTAGCTGATCTGGGTAAGGGGGTTGAGGCCTATGCAGAACAGCATTGGGTATAGCGCATAACCTTGGTATATGCCACATTTGATACTTGAGTTATTGTCCTGGAATTGGCTTCTAGAGTTGTTTTTCACTTGCCCATCGAGTTCTTGATGAAGGCTCTTATTATCTTGCTGACCTTGTAGAGAGCCAGTGATTCCATGTGTGTGTCATTGTGTCATAGGCTTTCTTGTCAATCCAGGCCATACACAGATTGGTTTGTCTGGTCTTAGAATCCCTTGTGACTGCTTGGTCTACCAGTAGTTGGTGTTTTGATCCTCTGGTGTTATTACCAATCCCCTTCCCCTTATTGCTCATATATTGACTCATATGCCCTTGGATCTTGGAGGCTATTATGCCTGACAGGAGTTTCCATGTTGTGGCAAGGCAGGTTATTGGTCGGTAGTTGGATGGTGCTGTTCCCTTGTGAGGGTCCTTCATGACCAGTATCATTCTGCCTTGTGTTAGCCAATCAGATTGGGAGCCTGTTGCTAGCAGCTGGTTCATTTGTGCTGGTAGGTGTTCATGCAGCGTTGTTAACTTATTTATCCAGTAGTTGTGGATCATGTCAGGTCCTGGGGCTGACCAGCTCTTCATGTGTGCTGCTCTCTGTTGGATATCTTTGACTGTGATGATGACTGGTTCCTGTTCTGACAGCATGCAGTGGTCTGCTTTGAGGTCTAGTAGCCACTGGCCCTCAGTGTTTTGAGATGCTTCTTGCTCCCAGATATGTTCAGTCTCAGCTCTGGGTGGGTCGCGAGGACATGTTGTGGTTACCCTGTAGCTGTGCATACACCTTGGATGGTTCTTTGGTAAAGAGGGCATTGATTCTCTTTTTCTCTGGTGTATTTGCTCAGTATGGTTGCCAGTGCTGTCAGTCTTTGCTTAGCTGTTTCCAGCGCCTCAGGTATTGGCATATCCTTTTACTTCTGCAGCAGCCAGGATCTATCTTTGATCTTTCCTACTCTGTTAAGTTGATCTAGCTTACTAACTTCCTTCCATGCTGTGTTTATCTTGGCTTTCAGTCGTATTCTCCATGGTGGACATTGCTTCTCTTTGAGTCTGATCTTGTAGTCAAGTAGCTGAAGGATCACTAATGATGTGGCATATATGAGCCTGTTCATTTCTGTGATGGTG